AATTAGTAGTACTATTAATAGTAATAGTGTTGTGTTTACAGTCGCGCGGTGGAGATGCTCTTACATTACATATTACATCTGTATTTCGAAAGGATACCAACGCTCTGCAAATAACGGGAACATTTCACTACACTACCCACAATTCTACTGGTGGATATGACATTTTCATGGGGACGATGTTTCATTGTAATATGTGGAGCATCGTACGAATCACTTAATGAAACATAGAGCTCGGTTTCGATACTTCGAATCTACAGATCGTAAACCCGCCTGGACTTTCGTGGGCTCTACAGACGACGAGGGATTTTGAGGGACACCGAAGTTTTGTCAACACATTATTTATATTATTCAATCAAATAATTTTATGGGAATACTACTAACTGATTGGCTACAGTATTGATTGGGGTGAAATCATTTTAACTGTGAACGTCAGGTTGACGACATTCGTCGACACGTGTAATTTCACAATAGCCAAGGCCGTTTGACCGGTGGTGACAGCTTCAGCCTCCCTTTGGCGACGGCGGGTTTCGAACTCTATGAGAAGAGAGGCCATGTGAGCACAAGGCACCTCTGACCTTGATGGAGGGATTGACCTGCAGACAATGCAGGTTAGGTCATGCTTATGTCGACTCGGGTTGCCGCTGCTGGAAAATCAGGGAGCGAACCCAGCCCCGTCAAGAAGACAGCGAACACGTTTTACCTGCTTCTGCTTGCGCATCGGCGGTTCCAGCACAGCTCGAAATACCTCTCTGAAGTCGAGCAGGACGAAACGGGGAAGATCGTCTTCTTGATCGAACTGGTCCAGCTGTTCGATAAAGCCACAGACCAATGCAACGCGGACCGAGCAGCCATTCATGCCACGGTGACGGAGAAGGAGGCGGCGGCGTTATTCATCTGAGACCAAGGAATGCAGAGTGGTAAGCGCAAGTCTGTCGAAACTGACGAATCTATGGACAGTGATGTTGTTGGCGAAAACGCAAAGCGATTTGTGAATCGCACGAGTGCGAGATCGAGAGGGGACGATTGGCGTTTGAGAAATACAAACTGCAGATGGAACTTGAGGAGCGCGAAAAGGAGAGGCTGGAGCGGATTCAACAACGCGAATTCGAGATGAAACGAAACGATGACATGATGTCGTTGCTTTTGCAGTTAGCATCAACGTTGGAGAAGGAATAAATGACAAATTGTGCCATCTCGTTAATGTTTGATATCATCACTAGACAGCAAGAATGCCATAAATGAAATACTCACATAGCGATGGTCGAACAATTCCAAAGTAATCGCTGATTTGGTTTCCACCATAATAGCAGCAGTGGCAATTGCTAAATAACATGGCAATCAAAATTACCTTGCCGACATTTTGTAGCATAACGTTTTGCTATCATTGCCCATTACTGTTTCATGGCGCCAAATGACCACTACATTGACTGCCACATTCTGCTCATGGCTGCATTGAAGTCACGACAGGGCTGGTCCAAATGACTTCCTTTGAAACCGGAACAGACCCAATCAAGAACGCCAAGATAACGTAACCGTCAAAAACATGACGGTTCTCGTCCAGATACTCTTGCAGCTTGCTAAGCCGAAATATCGTTGTGTGAGCCTTCCATCGGACCCCAGAAGTGAACACACAATCCGTCATAGCTTGAAAATTCAAGCAATGACAACAGTTTTGCCCACTGTACAGAAGGCGTTGCAAATCGGAGAAACCCAACTGGCAGCGGCTGCGTTTTTGAGTGATGCGGTAGGTCTCGATTTTGCTTCCATCGATGAGGCCAAAAATCTTCTCCATCGGTGAGCCCTTGGACACAATAGCGCTTGAGTACACAGGAAGGCCATCGGCAACAATGTGCTGGCAGAAGTAGAGCACATGTTCCACTTGGAATACAATGCATCGGTTACGTCGTTAAAGATACGACATATCGACTCGCGACACCGACCAAACGTGGCCATCATGTCATAGTACTGACGTGAGTAGGGCATCCGGTATAAGGTGATGAAGAGTTCCTCCTTAGATAAGCACAGGTCGCGGCTTGAAGTTATGATCACATCGGGTAGGCGCAGGGCGGATACGAGAGCTTGCACCCCAGCAACGTCGAAGCGATACTTCAAGGTTAAGTCGGCATCGAAAAGCCCAAGTAGGTCAAACTGGACATCGGGGACAAGCGGATGTTCAACGACGCATGCGATAAGGCGAAGTAGTAGCATATTTCGGCGAAAATTGCCGCTGCGGCAACGACTTAGTAGGATGTCGATTTCGACAGCAGACAGCATAGTATATGGAGTTACTTCTGTGTTTGATGCGCTTGTAACCAGCACACGCGGCTTTATTTGATTGGTTGGCTTTATCTGGATAAAAGCAGGTTATAGCGGAGAGTTTGTGAAACTCAAGACTCTTTTTTCCTACACTCTAATCACCTTCTACAATACCGGTATAGAATGTGGATAAAACAAAACTAGAATTTGCGAAATCTGCCTACTTAAGTGTTGTTTATTGTTTGTGAATTTGTTGTAAAGTACTGAATCACGCTGGAACTTCTGATTGGCTGAATATAAAGACTTGCCCCTTCTGTAAGAGCCGCTCAAAATATTGGATTAGCGATTCGCTTTGGCAGAGATGGGGTCTGGAACTTTGTACTGTACCGAATCCACAATAGCATTACCATTGATTGGTAGTAATAATACTACCAATCAGCGACAAGATACATCTCAGACAGACATATAAGGCAGACACGACATAAAACCGACAAAACTCGGCCCCGTGATTGGATGACCGACAAATGATTGAATTTGGATTGGTCAGTATTTTTTGCGACAATCCGATTGGACGAGGCGGTTGTCGTAGCATATCACTAACATTTGACATGTACGGCTTTCTATTGGTTGAAATACTGCCGAGCCGACATTGCACACGAAACGGTGTCGATCAGCATAAGTAAAACGGCACGAACCAGCAGGAGTATATACTGTTGTGGTCGGTGGCAGTCAGCCGGCGGCCCACCATGATGCATGGGGACCAATGGTGGGATCACTTTTGTAGCCCATTCCACACATAACGTTTGCGACTTTTAAACGTACGAATGCGGCTAAGAGTAATGGTCGCGCTTTAGGTACTTCCTGATTGAACATTACTGTAGCTACGCCAACACCACCTTACCTCCAGTAGTGATTCCAATTGCCCCTCATTCAACAAACGACACTAACCACGTTCTCCAGCTCTGCATATCCACTTACTTTCGCAACGTGAACCACCGTACTTGTTAGCACACAGTGTTTACAAGCAACCCCACTGCTAGCATCTGCAAAGTGGGGATGCTTATAACACTAACTGCGACCTCCCTTCAATGTGTGCCCCCTTCCACCACAACACTAAATAATCATATTTTCAATACTACAACTACTAAGATCACTTATATTGTTGCGAGCGACCTCACAGGTATCACAAAACACTCATCACAGAGTTGATTGAGACGACGGGAAGTAATTACGAGCTCACAAACTTACCTATTCTATGGCGTCAAACTCGTGCACCATTGAGTTATCAATGTAAATCTAGAAGTGCACATGTACTCCAGCGGTAGGGTTCTTTACAGTGAATGGTCACGCTCGCTACGATGTCCACGGAGTGTTTCTGTACTTCGGTATCGTTGGCGAGCAAGGAACAAGCATGCCTGATGAGTGGCTTGTGTTGTGCAAAGTAACCAAGGTAATTCCTCCACGTAATATTGAACGTACTATAATAGTACGTGTACAGTGTACCTTTAAGCCCCGCCAGCAAACAGGACTCTGTACGTCGATACGGAGTACATTCGAAAAAACTAAGATACTTTACTTGGTCGTTGTATTGAAATGGTAGAGACATCCGCCAATGAAAGCCAATAGGCGTCTACTTTTAACCAAACACATAGTTGTCGAATATATTTGTCGCAGCAGCCACTTTATCCACATACTAGTATACTGTGGTAAAAGCGTTAGACAGCTAGTTTTCGAAACATATCCGACCGAAGCTTAACGTTCGTCTACATCGACGACTAGTATACTGCATCGAGCACTTTCAGCCCTGCTAGCTCTGTTGTTTCTACTCCACATTTGTACGGTGACCGTGCGAAACCTCTCGAAATTTGATTTGTTTTACTGTTAGTTCTTCACAACATGTGAAGTAAATCCTTCAACCAATGTATGACGAACGGGGTTGGTTAAAACCCATAGCGCAACGGCGTCCGGAGTGGTGTCTTGGCATGCTTGTTGCTTCGCCCGGGCGTGACCCTACTCAATATATATATATATATATATTATATGAATATATACAGCATAGTCGGTAAAACTCATTCTACTGTATGTATCAATCATCCAACGTACATGGAATTTTTAAGGGCCAGTTTGGCTTTCTTCGCCTGGCGTTGCTCTTGTTCGATGGCGAACTGGTCCTTCTCGCTCTGCATGGCCATCTCATGCTCCATGTCCGCGCGCTCGTGGCGCTCCTTGGCGCGCTTGAGCAGTCGCGACTTGTAGCTCTCCTTAACACTAAAGAACATTGGGCCTAGCTCTGCCAGCCACTCGCCTTCCACAGACGTAGCGCATTGCATGTATTCCTATACAAACCATGTCAATAGAGGCGACCGACCTCTTGAACGAAGAATTGCATCCTAAAATATGAAAAGCATACTACAGTCGTTGTAATGCAAGCCGTCTCTAACTTTATTTCAAAACTTTGCCATTAATCGTTATCAACACATGGATAAGGCTTTCACGGTATTAATATCCTTCGCCAATCTCAATATATCGATGATATACAAGTCCAAAATGGTATATATATATCAAAGGATCCCTTCACCAATCGATACATAAATATATATAGTGCTCCAGCTTTTAGTGCACTACACGTGGACACATAGATACCCCATACTCAATCAATTCCATCATACCAAACAAATCACTTCCCTTCATCAGTCTATATATATATATATATATATATAAATAAAAAGGACCATTCCGCCATATTAAAACTCATCACGTCAATACGTTCTAATCCCTTTTATCAGTCAAGAAATATATATATAAGAGCATCCGGCCATGTTATAACAATACAAATCCTCCATCGTACCTTGGTCGTGTAAATCAGTTCGTGGTACACGACAAAGTCGGGGGTGTACCCGAGTCCAAACAGCGACGAACTCGGGTGCAAGTTGCACGGCATGCCCGTAAGCATGTTGACATACTCGCCAATCCCTTTAATTTGGGCAGAGTTGTAGAAATACGCCGAGCAAATCGCCTTGCGGACCACGTCCCAGTGGGTCCCGCACGTCGTGAGCGGCATCTTTTGCTGCTTCATGATGTCCACGAGCTGTTCGCGAACTTCGCGCGCCTTGCGCATCCCTTTCGAGTGGATATAGTGGTCATTTGCCCACGCTTGCGAGTAGTTGTTGGCCTAAATACTCATCATAAACACGCGCATGACGTCAACAAATACTAAAAGTACTGGCTCCAATACGGAATAAATCACATAACATGACCCACACACAAAACATCAAGCATCCAATTCCATTTCTATATCCATGCTTTCATGGAAAATATCGTGCAAACTATATATATATATATATGCAAGGTCACTCAACGTCAACTCGTTCGATATGGAATACAACACACAAAAAGCAGTATCCTATGTATATTCCTACGTATCCATGATCTTTCATTGAAAGGATAATTCAAAAAATACTATTTTGTGGTATATTCGATACGAATTTCCAGACCCCGTTGAAATCGAATGTATCTCGCCGCCGAATCACGAATCATCGACGCTATTGGCTAATCCATTTTTGAGTGGATATATTTGATTGGCTCTTACAGAAACGACAAGTCTATTCAACCAATCAAAACTTCAGGGTGATTATTCAATATTGATTCGACAAAAAACCACACGAATTTTGCAAGTTTGTAGCAAATTCACAATATATCCATGAAAATTTGTGTTAATCATGGTTCAATATTTAGATATACCATATCCAAACTGCTGATGGTACTTCGATTTTTGTTGTGGGTGATCAAACCTCAGCATCAATCATTTCTATATATATATATATACTATTACAATGCACAAAACTAGCATAGACCCTCCAAAATAGATATATAACTCCGTCAAAGAAAGTAGTCATCCATTGTTCAAAACAAATGAATACTCCCAGCCTCCCCATATATAAATATCCTATCGATGCCGTTAAACAGTACCTCCCACATTTTATACACATTGAGAAGCGTGAGGTGGTCGCTTTCTGGTACAAAAAATTTCTCGCGCGCCGCGTCCGACTCTTCCTCTCTGTCTTTTGGGCGGAAAAACACGCTGGGTACACTGAGCATGGATACAACGATCAGCACTTCGGCCGTGCACTTGAGCGATTCTGAAAACAGGAGCATCTTGGCCAACGGCGGATCCAGCGGAAACGTAATCTAACCCCAGAAATCATAAATATATTTGCACGAATAGAGATTAAAATATAGTCGACCACAACTACACGAGAATTTTTATTAGTGGATCTGCACAATGTATATAAAACATGTAGATAGAATGTTCTATATAGTCTCAAAATATATACTAGTATACAATGGGAATATTTAAATAATACATGGTTGTAGGTCTCTGTAGAAACATATATCATCCTCCCCGTCTAGTTTATATAATTTATGTGTAGGACGGAAAGGAACTGCAACTAATATGAATCGACATTGCCATTACTGGACAAATATTATTTTTCTATACAACGCTCAGTCGAAACAATCGGTCGATCGAGTGTTACGGCGAATATCCGCAAGCATAACAAGATCGTTTGACGGCTCCAACGACAAAATATTAATATTCTTCTATATATATATAGACTATACTTGCAATATCAGGAAATAATGGTAGTTCAACAACGATACTGAACAATACATCCTCCAACTACAACAACATTGCTCATCACATACTCCATATCCAATGAATGACATCCTTTATCCCCGTCCATACACGTTAAAGATAAAACAGAGATATCCCCGACGTACGTACCATCCGCTTGCCCATATCTGTGAGCTCGCCCGTGTTATCTAGCGCCCCCAGTACCCACAGCTGGTACATGGAGTTGGTGATATTGTCTTGTGGAGGCGGGTCCATAAAGTCGAACTCGAGCAAGTTCTTGACGCCCAGCGACTTGAGCAGCAGCACGATGTACCCCAAGTTGGTGCGCTGGATCTCTGGCACTTGGGCATCCATCATTTCATTGCAAAACTGGCGCTCCGTGTAGAGGCGGTAGCACACGCTACGACCCAAAACAAACCACAATAACCCATGCGTCATATGAGTATTGCTGTCGTCGTACCCTGGTCCTGTGCGGCCGGCACGCCCAGCGCGCTGGTTGGCATTTTGCTGTGACACGGGGGTGATCTGCAGCGCGTCCATGCCGATTTTAGGGTTGTATACTTTGATCTTGCAAAACCCAGCGTCAATCACATACCTATACAAGACTCGGGTTATGCTTGTTTGAAGTAATTCAATATCCTAGCAGTGTCACATCATCTATCGTTACAATTTGGACTTGAGAGTAGAATCAAAGTAGGCAAATGTGGAGTTGAGAATGTCCTAGCCAATCAGAATCCTTTATCGAGAAATTTCTACCAATAGTCGATCACCAAACAAAGTTTGTATACCATACATTGAATAAGCTAAAGTTATGACTTAAAACGATGCTTGAATCAGGCGCAAAGTCCAAATTTCAGTGAAAATGACAATACTGCATGGGATATATATATATTTCAAATATATATGTGTACATGATGTACGGAATCGCTCTAGGCTGGACAGATACATATATATCGTTCAGAAATACATATATATATATTATCTTTTTAAAAACCGTAACCATATCGTTCAATCAATTACGTCCACACACCATAGACCAACCATGTATATATATATATATATATATATATATATATATATATATATATATATATATATAGATACATAGATCATCTTATTTGATTCATCCTGTATCCCAAGTCGTCACCCATTCCATTTGAAAATCTATTTCCAAGATTGCAAACTTGTTTATATATAATTAATATACACTTCGACTCGTCGTTGTACTTTTCCACACACCAAACAAAACCAAATCAAAAATAAACACAAAAAAAGACATCAAAAATAAAAACCTATAACATATGTAGCAATATAACAAACTAAACCAAAACACAAATAAACACAAAAAAAAGACATCAAAAATAAAAAAATATAACATATATGTTATATATACCGAATGCCGTCCACGGTCAAGCTGGTTTCGGCAATATTAGTCGAGACGATGCATTTGCGGATATCGCTGGCATCAAAGATCTTAGCTTGGAGGTCGGCTGGCAGCTGCGAGTACATGGGCAGCACCATGAGCGGCGGCGCGCCGTCCACGCGGCCCATGCGCTCCGCGAGCACATAACACGTGGCTTCAATGTCTTCCTGGCCAGTCATAAACACCAAAATGTCGCCTTTCGGGTGACTCAGGTGGATTGTCATCACTTGCTTCACGGCTGCGTCCACGTAGTCTTCGGCCGGGGACTTGGCGTACATTCTACGTAGATACCCGGTCGCGTGACCCAGAATATTCATCCAAGAACGACCTAGTTAGTTGATATATTACGTGTCGACTTTGAACGTGCGCCCGGGAATCGTAAACAGAGGAACTCCCCCAAAGAAAGACGCAAACTTCTCCGCGTCTAGCGTCGCACTGGTCACAATCAGCTTGAAATCACGACGCCGCTGCACCACCTACATACAAACTATCGATGAAATAGTGTATAGATGAAATGGATTATAGATGTAATAGTGTATAGATGAAATGGATTATAGATGAAATAGTGTATAGATGAAATGGAGTATAGATGAAATAATGTATAGATGAAATGGATTATAGATGAAATAATGTATAGATGAAATAATTTATAGATGAAATTGATATAGATGAAATAGTGTATAGATGAAATGGATTATAGATGAAATAGTGTATAGATGAAAATCACACGATGCGTCTTATTCACGTTGGACATCTACGACAACTAATCCCATCCATACATACATACACATTGAAAATGGGTTTGGAATGCGTTTGAAATGTGATATATATAAATAATCTTTTCACCCAAAGTTGCCCATTTTAGGCGATAGTGGAAATATCACCAAATCGACCAAAACGCAGTATAGGATTGGCTCAAAACATTGCCCTTTGAATTTTTGAGTGGCCAAAACGACCGAACGTTGATACAACAAGACCTCTTAAACTTGGTTTTATATCATCTTTCGGGAGTCCAGTAACCCGTCAGTCAATAATCAACCACACAATATACATTTCATATGATCGAAACAACACCCCAGACCCATCACGTTCTCCAAAGCAACATATATATATATATATCCCAGACCCGTCAAATCCAGCAAGATATATATAAATATATATTATACCTTGCGCAAGATCCCAAAAAGGACGTCCGTGTTGAGCGCGCGCTCGTGCGCTTCGTCCATAATCACGGCCGAGTACGTGTCCAAGTCGGCTTCCCGCAGCGACTCGCGCAAGAGCACGCCTTCCGTCATGTACTTGATGATCGTCTTATCACAAGTCAAGTCTTCAAACCGGATGGCATACCTACCACCACATATATATATATATATATATATATATAAATATATATATGGTCTCATGGGATTGAAGAATATATATATATTGTAGATAGCATATATTAAAGTTGAAACACGAATAAATACATATATACTCAAACAAGGTATATGTATATACATATATATATTGTAGATATCATCCATGTTGACACAAATAATATATAGATATAACTTTATATTTAGGGTGACGAGAGGAGAGGGGTTCACATCACTCGATCCACCACACTAGGATACGTGTATATTCGCATATTGTACACAACAAGTCATGTCGTCGTCGCCTCTCTTGGACTTCGTCGAAAGCAATATGTATATATATATATCACGAGATATTCATCTCAAATCATCTCATATATATCTATCAAAATCGTGTTGACACAAATATATATATATATCAAGAGATATATCTATCAACATCGCATCCAATCAAACACCGTACCCGCATTCGTCGCCGAGGTTGACTGCCATTTCCTCGCTCACTCGCTGGGCCACCGACATGGCCGCCACACGACGGGGCTGGGTGCACCCAATGGTCCCATATTGGGAGTACCCGTCTTCGTGGAGGTACTACAACAGACACAAAAACCCGATCAAATTTATATATAATATATATATACACATATACTTGAGTCAATTGCGTGGTCTTGCCACTGCCAGTTTCGCCAACAATGACCACAATTTGATTGTCTCGGATCACTTGCATGAGTTCGCTGCGGCACTGGAAGATGGGAAGGTATCGCCGCTGCTCGGCTATCGTGTGCGATTTTGCAAACTCGCTCACCTTATAAAGATATATATATTATACGTGAGGATACTGTGTGTATGATTACAAATATATATATATATACATTCACTGTAAAGGCAAACATATACAGTATCGACTCGAGTTGTGCATATCAACGACTCCTCCTCTTTCCAAGCCAACCAACCTCGAATCTCACAATCAAAACAAACCGTACAACGGCAAGAATTGCAATTCCACGACTATTTGTTTAAATATACAACAGCTCACTCGATTCCTTGGAATACGCCAATATATATATATATATATTATGTTCTAACACGACAAAAGGGAGGTGTGCCGAAGACCACGTATATAAGGATCAAGGGCCGGTAAGAATATATCCCAACATAATATCTCCAACTGCCCAATATATACATATATGACGAAAACCCCCACCATTGTCCATATTCAATCCACAAATGTACAGACAATCGATCGACCAATCACAACACGATACTCGTGGCCAATCCAATTCTCCCTTGAACCATCCAAGTATTGTGCGACTTCAAATAGTGTGAATGACATTCCAACGTGTACAACAGTCACAACCCGATCGATGAATTTAGTAAATCAGCCATATCTCCACCGTTAGTTTGGCTCCATATAGAGCGGCACTACCGTACCGCCTCGATCTTCTTCTTCATATGGGTCGAGAACTGCGATTCATTCTTGTAGTCGACATCCTCTTCATTGGTGGAATCGGCGGCCGGCGGCAGCGCGTTGCCATCCTCGTCCACGTTCGTGTCTGGCGCGGCGATGCCCATCACGTCTCCCATGCGGGACCCGCCCAGCTCCCAGAATCGCTTGCGCATCTTAGAACGTTCGCGCTGCTCTCGAACTTCGCGCAGCAACTCACTGCCTTTGCGCGCACATACAGCCAGGTCGGATGTTGCGTCTTTGACTGTAGCCACCATCTCCACCTAGAAATATATATATATATTTAGAATACACTCGCAAGCAGATAATACTGTAATAACATGTGTGTGTCAACAATCAGTAACCAAAACGATAGATAGCATGACATTCAACAACAAAGAAACGATGACATTTGCTGTAGATTATATATGAAGACGGACTCTAGTCAATATATAGACTATACGATATTCGTATCCAGCGAATAGATTGTTTATATTATAGGAATAACACTCGACAAGATAATATTATACACCACTATCATATATGAGTGTGTTTATGATCCACAACTAAAAACCCAAACGATTTATATATATATATATATATATATATATATATATATATTCAACGAGAGTCTTAAGGACAGGCACAACTCAATCGGGTTACTATTAATAGTATATACTTCAGCAAAAGGATACAAATCAAAATCACTTGATGGCAACGATATATATATATATATATATATATATATATATATATATATATATATATATATATATATATATATATATATATATATATATATATATATATATAAATCCAAACGATATATCGTCCACAACGATGGTGGCGTCGTTGCGTCCTTTTAAATTAATCACAACATGGAGACAAACACTCCCATTTCGTAGTGCCTCGATTTCAAACTCTACTGTAGACACTTCAACTCTGTGATATAACTCGATCGAATTTTGAGCCACACCAACTCGAATCGATCGACCAATCACAACCCACCACACACAAATCAAGTGGCCAATCAAAACTCATTCTCTTTTCAACATGGGGATTTCACAATTATTCTATCCACGTTGTGGACTTAATTGGTACATCCACACTCTCCATATTGTAGTACGGTCCTACCTGCGTTGTGAACGACACGCGGCCGTCTAGAAACGGCGGCTTGGTATTATGCACCATAATCTGGACGCGCGCATCAAGTTCGTCGTCGAACTCCGTGTCCACTTCGGTGGTTGCCATGACCCCACTGGTCATCAGTCGGTTCGTTTCCCATGCGTCCTGGTCCTGGTTCAATGCCGACGCGCGCGCGGATTTCCCGCGCGTTTTCAGTTCCCCTACACCAGAATGATTAGTCATCATGTACCTTTCATGTGGAAATATCTTCATTTAATTTTTGCATGTGAAATCTTTGGGAAGAAATATTCATTTATGTACGTGGAAGAAGTCATTTTCGTTGTATCAACATCATTTACTTCATAAAGTAAATGAGGTTTCCAAATGGAATAATATATGAATATCCTCAAGACAAAAAGTAAATGATTCAATCGTGGTGGGGATTCTTTTATATCCAAGTTGAAACATCATTTTCTTTAATATATTATAGCAATCGTGGGCGGCGATTCAAGCAAGGGCATCTATATATATATATATATATATACACTGATTACCCACATATGAAGGGTCTGAATATGGTGGAGCATCGATATTATATTCCGATACTAGCTAGCTAGCTAGCTAGCATTCATAAATTACATCCAACACGAGTAATAAATAATTTGAATATCTAGCTAGCATTCCTATATTTAGATCCAACACGAATACTAATAAATAATTCGAATCAAACCCCTTTCATTTGATCAAATCTCTACATTTGCATTATTAAAAAATGGACTACCATATTAAGCCAATTCAAAGACCAAAGAAACACTAAAATTCTACAGCAACATTGCTCTAGAATGGACAAACAGATGGAGAAATGGCTCGTGTACCTCGCTGCCGTTTGCGGACCATGTCGTCCTCCATCTGTTGAAATTTGGCCTCGTTGCCGACGAACGCGTCGTGGGGGAGCTCGTCGTCCATGTAAAACTGCCGATCGAAGCGTTCTTCGTCGTCGTCGTCGTAGGATTTCTTGGCGAGGTCGCCGCGGCCCAAGTGATGGCGCGTCTCTTTCGCCATGAGGTCAGTCGCGCGCACGGTGGTCGAGGAAGGGGTGTTGCGGCTGGGTGTTGACGATGTAGAGCGCATGGGTGACCTGCATGATCGTAAGACGAACGAGTCTGGAAACGAGGAAATGGAAGCAAACGTACGGCGTTGGAGCGTCCCAATCCGACTTGGATGGTTGTCCAGACGAATGCAGCCGCTCGGGTTCTTCCCAATCACTCTCGTTCAACCCCAGTCCTGATCGCGTACTCGACGGCGCTGGCGACGGCTTCTCGATCCATGTGGATGGCGTGGACACGTTCGACAACGTCGATGGGGTCGAGCGCGAGGACGACTCACGACGACTGCTGCTGCATGCACACATGAGGGGAGAACTTAAAGATAAGATAGATGCGTACCTTGTAGGGCTAGTCCGACGAGACGAACGATGGTGGTCACTGTATTCACGGGAGGACTCGCGCCTACGCACACAAAAATAGGCATTCGATGAATCGATCGTCGTTGGAGGGGAATGCATACCGAGGCGTGTCGCGACTACTCGACGCGCGAGATGAGCCGTACTTGTCTTCCTTGCTGTCGCGACGGTGCGAACTACTCCGACGGGGACTGCGACTGCGACTGCGGCGGCGATGATGATCTCGACTGCTCATGTCCTTGTTGGTTGCGTTTGGTGTGGTGCGTTTAGGACCTCTGTAAATTAATATCACTTAAATAGTTATATGTGATTGGCACGTATATTTCCAAACACAAATGGAACCTGCATCATTTAATATGTTTCGCTGTATAACAAGTACAAAAGGTTGCTGGCATTTAGGCATGGTGCTGGTTTACTTCAATTGCATGATATTATATTGTGAATTCGCTATAAACTTCCTAAGTATGTATTGTCGATTTGATACAAATATGGGGAGGGGGTGCAAATCGAATCGCGCCGACCAAACCGATCCACAATCGATCTGATTGGTTGAATTACATTAAGAAGATTTTGATTGACTAATAATTTTGAGCTCATCTGAGGTAGCCAATCAAATCAATTTAAATTCCAACGAGAAACCACGCCACAACACGAAATTTCACTCGAAAGCACAATACAGTACCATAATGTTCACACATGACGTTATTTCAGCTGCCTTCATTATTCCAGCTCCATATACATAGTACTATTATTGTGGATTCGATACGAATTTCCAGACCCCGTCGAATCGAATCTCGCCGCTGAATCGAATCACGAATCGACGTGATTGGCTAATCCATTTTTGAGTGGATTTGATTGGCTCTTGCAGAAAGGACAAGTATAGTCAACCAATTAGAACCCCAGCGTGATTCAACATTGATTCGACAAAACAACAGTAGTTGCTAAATATATATACTAGTATGTATACTTCCAACCTCCAGGTGAAGGAAGCTGTTAACGTTACCTGTTGTAAAGCTGAAAAATTATTTACAGTGTTAACTAATTTTTCAGTGTTAACTAACTGTAAACACTACAGTAACCAAAACAAAAAATGACCAGTGGAAAATACAGTTAGTACTTAACGTTAACTTACAAACGGCGGTCACACCATGGTACAGAGACTCCCGTTAAGTTGTCAGTATTACAACGGGACGCATTGCGAGTAGTAGTCGTTGTACTTGAGGCACTTGTTTTCGTCGCGGCACTTGGTGAGGCCGGTGTAGCCGATGCCACCGCAGCGCGCCCACGTGGCGAGGACACCTTCTTTGGTGGGCGACGGCTTACACTGGGCGTACCAGTCGTTGATGATTTCGCACGTGTTGCCGGCCGAGCATTGCGTCGGGCCCTGGTACGTCTTACCCCCGCATTGCTGCCACACAGCCACAACCCCCGACGCGGCGCCGGCGGCCTTCTTGGGGTCATTGGGCTCGCACAACGAAAGGTACTGGTTCTTGTAGTTGCAGGAAAAGGCAGCGTCGTCGCAGCACACCCCATAGGGCCAATTCTGACCGTTGCATTGGCTCCACTTGGTGCTGCACTTGCCAGTGTTGGTGTTCACCGACGTGGTAGCCGGGGCGCTAGTGGTGTTAGCCGGGGTGCCGGTGGTGGTAGCCGGGGCGCCAGAGCTAAACACGCAGCCACGGGCGCCACTGGGGAGCTTCTGGCACACCGCGTCCGCAGGGGCGACACATTTGGAGGTTGCTCCAACGAAACTCTTGAGGGTTTGGATGCAGTCGCCCACGGCAAGGTCGTCCTTCTTGGGGCACACGTCGCCTTGGTCACCACAGATGTTGCCTTGCACGCAGTACGTGGCATCGCCTACGACGCTCACGTTGGTGCAACTAGCACTGGCATCCTTCTTAGGTTGTTTGGGTTCGCACAACGACAAGTACTCGTTCTTGCGGTTGCATTGGAAATCCGCGTTTTCACAGCACACACTGTAGGGCCAATTCTGACCGTTGCATTGACTCCAGTTGGTGCTGCACTTGCCGCCGTTGTTGACTGCCGCGGTAGCTGGGATGGCAGTACCAGTGGTAGCCGGGGAGCCGGTGGTCGTAGCTGGGATGTCAGTGGTGGTGGTGGTGGTAGCTGCAGGGACAGCTCCAAACACGCAGCCGCGGGCGCCACTGGGGAGTTTCTGGCACGTGGCGTCCACAGGTGCCACACACTTTGTGGCTCCAACGTAGCTAGCCAGCGTTTGAATGCAGCGGTCGACGGCGTACTCGCCCTTCTTGGGGCACACGTCACCTTGGTCGCCACAGATGGCCCCTTGTACGCAGTACGTGGCATCGCCCACGACGCTCACGTTGGTGCAAGACGCTTCCGCAGCCTTCTTTGGGTCCTTGGGCTCACACACCGACACGTACTCGGACTTGCGGTGGCATTGGAAAGAGGGGTCCTTGCAGCACACGCCAGTGGACCAGTTTTGGCCATTGCACTGGCTCCAGTTTTCGCTGCACTGGACGTTAGAAGAAGAAAGGGATGCCGTTGGACTCGTGGTGGTGACGGATGTTTTAGCTGCCTTGGGGATGCATTGCGAGTAGTAGTTGTTGTGCTTGATGCACTCATCGCCAGCGTTGGCGCAGCACACGCTGTTAACGGGCCAGTTCTGGCCGTTGCATTGGCTCCACGTTGTCGCACACGCACCATTGTTCTGGCCGGACGCAGCATCGCGAACATGCACGGCGTGCGTGGATGATGACGGCAAGCACTGGGCCACGTTGTCTTTGAAGACATGGCACGTGCTGGTGGCATTGCAACACGGGGCGCCAGTGTCGCATAGTCCATACTCGGCCACGCAATCAGAGGCGGCGGTGGAAACCACGATGGACGACACGATCAAAGCGATTTGCATATTGCTTTTAGTAGGACGGGAACTTTTCAAAAATGAACATGTGAGTTGGAAAGGCAGCCTGTGGCAGTCAGCAACCCGACGACGACGAATCAGTTCGGTTACGTGCGCCCGACGCAGCAACATGATTCGACAGATCATCAAGAAGGGGAAAGGCATCGCAAAGTCTCAATTCATGGTATTTCTGACGGGGGATTGCTGCTAATCGACCGTAGAATGAAGTTGCATACAGGTGAACCGATAGGCGAGTTTATGGTGGTCCACAGCTGTAGTAAGCATAGCAATGACAAAGCTACAGAGCGTACTTATTGAGGTATATACAATACATACAAATTCATATGCATGTTTTAACTTGTTTCAATAAAAAACATATAGTGTACTAGTGTAAATATGGCTCTATTTTATATACTTTGGACCGTGTTTGAACCTAATTGAAGTCTATATCATTGTGGTGATGTGCAACCAATCGTAGACGTGCAATCTCAATCAGGGTAATTCCATTGGTGCAACGATAACTCTGTTGGATACTACGTAGTATCTTGTGTTGCAATATGCAGGGCAAGGAGGATCGAAGCCTGGCCAATCATACGTCATTCATGTGAAATCAAGCCTGACGATTGGTGGCCTGCCGCGACAAAGCGTCGGCACGTGCCACTTGCACATATTTCAGCAACTTTTTCCCTTTTTTAGCGAACTCGTGCTTTTCAAGAGGTGTTCAAAAACCTACCAGTAAGTTAACTTACATGTCATTGAGATGGGTTATGCATCTCAACGACATTGCTCCAGTACTACCTACCTACATACCGGTACGGTGAGGTTAGCAGCAAACAGAAGTCCTCGGCTGCAAACTTAAGTCCTCCGGGTGTTGCCACCAACGCCACTTTCCCTTTTTCTTCCCATGCTTTATTTGCTGTGCCGCGCATTCATCGATTTACTCGCCAATACTGCGCTATGCTTTCCTTACTATGTACTACAACACGTTTGTGTACTCCCGAGTAAAATTAAGCCCCGTTGTCATTACTTTTTACTGTACGACGTCCACGAATCCAGGTGCGCCGCGTCCTCCGTGGCATCGTCGTCGTCGTCGCTTTCATCACTGGACGAGACCGACGAGATCGATCCGGTCGAGTGGCTGCGGGCGGGCGGAGCTACGGTGTGCACGGCGGCGGATGTGGACTGGGCGTCTGTGTACAGGTCCTTGTGGTCTTCGTCTTCAAAATCGTCAAACTCCAAGTCGTTGGCTGCCTTGTTGTTGCCTCCACCGCCGCCACCATGAACTCCCATCGTAGTAGTACTTTTAGGCGCCTTCTTCTTGGACACAACTATCCACGTCCCGCCCAAGACAGCGCCAATCACCCCCACACTAACTAGCACCACCGCGGCCACTGGAAAGCTCGCGGCGTCGTTGGCCTTCTTGTCGGTCGAGTTGATGGTCGAGGCAGTACTGCCGCTGGTTAGCGACTTGGATTCGGCAGATGATGCCTTGGAGTTTAACGTGGAAGAAGAGGAGGAGGAAGCGGCGTCACTCGCGTTGCGGCCGTACTTGGTCGAGCCGGCCGCCGATTTGCTCAGCGGATCTTTGCCTCGAAGGAGGTTCTGGCAGTACCGATAGTCGGCGCCGACGCACTCGGTGGCGTCCTTTATCTTGGGCAGACATTCTGCCCATGTCGTCACGACGTTGGTCGACACATCTACGTGCGTGTGGAACTTGCGGCACTGGCATTTCTTCAACTGGCAGTCTTGGATCGCATATCCCTGGGGTCCCTTGCATGCCTTGGACTTCTTGTAGAACTTGGCGGCGCCGATTTCACGGTCGCCTTTGATGCGGATCTTGTCCACTGCGAACGTGCACACAGGGTTCTTCTTGTCGAGTGCAGGGAACGTGCCTTTCTTCGCCACGGACGACACGGTGGCCGCAAGCAGCAGAGACACGACTACAGAGGAAGGCTGATGAGATAGGCGGCGTACTCAGCATGGCATGGTCTTACCAGCAAGGCATGTCGTTCGAACACGCATTATGGATGTCCAATGCGAGACTGCCGACGACCGACGGCACCACCACCGCGCGCCGTCGTGCAATTGTAATTCGCACTCATGCAGCCAGCGTACAGGCCACTTTGAAATAGGCTTGAATGGATTTTAATCGTCAAATATGCCTATTTAGAGTTCCCATAGGGCATTTTATACTGAATGTTAGATATTACACCTAATTGACCGTACCCAATGAATCAACCAATCAACGACCAGATTGTGCGATCGACAACAACATGGAACTTGCATGAATGCGACGGGAAGGTGACAAGAGGTGATGGAGGCGCAAGAGAATGTACTCGTATGACCTATTAAGCTCTTGATGCCACATCTATCCTCCGCTGACGATGGAGAGTGGGGTCTTGGTTGGGATGGACCAAGCGAGCTGCAGAGTAGTACAGAACAAGAGAGTGTCGTCGCAGTTGTTGGATCAGCGCCACCAGCCGCTACACACCCGATGGTACGTCGGCGCTGCTGCTGCCTTAATAGGCCGCCCAGGTCCCTATCTCGTCCTTCACATCATCACCTCTTCAACAACTGAGCAATCTGCCGACACGCCCTTATCCGACAAACTACTAGTGCGTGTGGAGCGATGCTGATCCGTCCATGTTAAAAAATACTCGAGTTTGGTCCTAGGCCGCTTGGATGTTGTCGTGGGGAGTAGGAGACACATCATCATCTTCGCTCTTGGCACTCACGGACGACGCATTCCGGTCCAGAGTCTTCTGGCGCGCCTTCATCGCCCACTTCTTTCCGCGGACTTTCATCGTCGTGATGGTCGACACGGACGAGATCTTGGTCAGGGCATGTTCGACGTCGTGCTCGGTGATCTCGACCGCGTCATGGCATCGCGTTTGAAACGCGGCGACGGCGTCGATGGCCAGCCCCGTGACGACCCATGGATGGTGTCGGATCTCGGCAAACGTCATGCGTTTGGTCGGGTCCTTCTCGAGCAACCCCCTGAGCAACTCTCGCAACTCGACGGATGCCGACTCTGGCACGTCCACCGGTTGCGGCGACTGAATCATGTCAAACAGGTCGGTCACGTCGGGTGCAAAGTACGGCAACTTGCCAAACAAGAGCGCGTACAGGGTCACCCCCAGCGCCCAAATGTCGGCCACAAACGCACTGTACGGTGCCTACACAAAAGTTGCTTAGCCAGTGGCTCACACATGACAGCAACACGTACAGAAACGAGCGATTCCGGCGCCATGTACGCATATGTCCCGGCGGAATTGGTCACAAACCCCTTAGAAGGAGGAGAGTTGTTGTTGGCGGCAGGAGGACTTGGCATGGCGGCGGCGGACTCGTCGAAAAAGTGCGCGACGCCAAAGTCGGCGATTTTAACGACCCCGTGCTTCCCCACGAGAATGTTTTCTGGCTTGAGGTCCCTACAAAACGGTGAGAAAAGAACCGTAATGGATATATATATATACATATATATACAGGTAGATACCGAAAGACTATATATATATATATATATTATATATATAACTCGTCTGGTTTGTCTAATCAGTATTGAATCATGCTAGAGTTCTGATTGGTTGAATATACTTGACCTTTCTGTAAGAGCCAATCAAATCCATGCAAAAATGGGTTAGCCAATAGCGTCGATTCGTGATTCGATTCGGCGGCGAGATATTCAATTCGACAAGATCTGGAAATTTGTACCGAATCCACAATATATGCATTTAGAAACCGAAAGACTATATATATATATATATATATATATATATATATATGCATTTAGAAACCGAAAGACCAGACCAACAGCAACTCAAATCATCACTACATCTTAAGAAATGGTATAAATGTCCATTTACTATTCGAAATACAAAAGGACATTGGTTATACAAGCACATTGTAGAAATGTCCACTTACGATTCGAATAACAACGGGTATATGTAACGATAGTAAAAAATATATTCCAAGAAACTACTTGAAAAATATATCAGAAATAAAATAAAATTATATATTCCAAGAAACTACTTTAAAAATATATCAAGAAATAAAATAAAAATGTATATTCCAAGATAATACTTAATATATCAAGAAATAAAAGACCGAAATCTGGGCTATAAAATGGTCACTTCAAAATGCATGCCAAAACCGATATATTTTAGCCAAAACTAAAAACGAAGGGTGAATTAATCCCTGTACCGGTGGCAAATGCTGTTCGTGTGGAGGTATTCGAGGCCGTCGACCAATTCTCGGAAGAACATGCGCGCGAGATGCTCGGGGAAACCATTGGGCGCATATTGGACTGGGTGCGCGGGGCCAGCGGGAAAGTGCCGCAAGATCTTCGGGTCCAGCATCGGGCGGTACGTTTGCTCGTCGCCGTCCCAGACCATAACCTGTCCGAAGGGGGCGTACTCGAGGACGAGGACGAGGAGTTCGCTACCGTCATCGAGAACGGCGTCTAGGGATACCAAGTTCGGATGCGACAGCTTCTTCATGATAGCAATCTCGACTTGGACTTTGTCTAATGCGGTCGAGACGATCTAGGGAGACAGATGAGGGCGATATATACGTATAAGAAAGGAATGACGAGGACACGCGTACCATGCGACGTCCTTCGCGTTTGAATTCCTTGATCTTCTTGAGCAAGGACGTCTTGAACTCCTTCAACGCGACCAAATTCTCGTACTCGTCGTCCGTTTGGTTGTCGGAGTCTTGACTGTGGAGGCGACGACATAGCTTCACGACGGCAGTAGCACCTTTCCCGAGCTCCTTGATGAACTCATACTCGCCGGAAAACCCTAGGCCCTGTTGTTGTGGGGACAAGTCGGCGTCATCGAACACTCCTGCGTTCGCGACCGCATTGTTGGACGCAGAAGGTCGCGGTGGCAAAGAAGAGGCGGGAGTCGCCACAGCGATCACACGCGGCGCTGGTATCGGCGCAGCAGGCTCCGACAGCGATTCCTTCTTCTTGAACAGCCCGCTAAAGAGCTTGCCAAGGACCATCTTGAGTGCTGGCGAATGTGCAGATGAGCACTTCGAACGAGGGAAATTTGACGATTTGATTGGCTGGAGAAAAGACGTTAAACTCGTTTTACCTTATTCCGCTCCCATCGTACCGTATATGTTTAGCGCTTGAAGTGGTTATTTGTATATTGGGGATGCTAGCTATCTATCCACGAACTAGAATACTTCGAAGTAAGCCGTTGGCTCCATGGTTTAGCCACAGAAACGTTCAAACTAGTCGGAACTGGTACGAGGACTTGGCGTCCGAAGAGTTTAACCTAAGCAGGATGAAAAACCTAATTTCAGTCCACCAATCACAAGCCGAATTCCCTGTCCTTCGAGCTTTCCAACTGCAATTCTGTACCGGCATATCAGCCCCGGATTTTTCAATATACCCAGTAAATAGTGTTACCGATGCCATTCGACAATGACATTAAATAGTGTGTGTCCTTCAGACCAAGAACTAGACTTGAGCATGACCGTACCTCGAAATAGTATATTCAACACTATTTTACGTTCTTCGCGATATTTAGAGTGGTGCGTTCTTGTTGGTCAGGAAAAAACGAGAAGACGAGACGATGTCTGGGCAGGTCGCACGATTGATCGCGAACATTGTCGTAGCTGGCGCGGGGGTGGTATCCAAGGCGTTCGTCCAAGCTTACCAGCAGGCTGTGGTGAATGCCAAGCATGGGAAGACTGTGCAGACGGCGGCAGTGACGCTGAAGAACAAGATGCAGAAGGACCAGGCGCTGGACGTGCTCAACTTACAGGGCACACCGACGATCGCGGAGATTGAGAAGCAGTTCGAACGACACTTCAAGGCTAATGAGCCGTCCAAGGACGGCGGCGGCTCGTACTACTTGCAGTCCAAGATCTACCGGGCCAAAGAAGCGCTGCTCAAAGATCACCCGGAGACCACGCCACCCGCGCCTGGCAAAGCCTCCGAGGAGAAACAGCAGTAACTTGACACATTAGATATAGGGCAACAAATAAAAGCACCGAGTTTTTTCATAACAATATAGCATGGGGTCGTCGACAACGACTTCCTTATCATAGTCAAGGACGACATCCAACACTTCCACTACTGATCGAACGACACTAACAGTAAAGCGAGGGAGTGCTGCGTACTATTAGACTGTGCCAAACTGCTTTTGCAACTACACCGACAAACACAAGGCAGCAGCTGTCAGGGACATCACTTGCCGCTGACCCTAACGGTAGCTATACCTGTATCATCGTGGATGCAGTACGTTCTATTGCAATGTAACGTTCCCGGTACATGCACTGATCAAGTTGGCCACGTCGTCGGAATGTGGCAGCGATAGAAGCAACGGACAAACCAGACTATGGGTACTACATAATACCATACTTCAGTCGTGTTGGCGACCTGTGGCCATGGCAGTGTTGAGATTCCTCCGACCACAAGCCAGCGAGGGACTTGTTCTCGTGTCTCCTGCCACAGCTGTGCACGGTTGACAGGGTTAACCGTCCTTTCCCATTTCCACTTGATTTGACTGTGTGATCAACGTTAATACTAGTAACTTACAGTAGTTAGTAGTAGTAGTTAATAAAGAAGATTGGCACCGTCGAATCTCAAATGGTGAGTTTGCACAGTTCAGGTTTAATCTTATTTAAATAGAGGGGCTGGACTTCAACATCCCTATAACGTTATGGTAGCAGTCTACAGTCGTGGTGGTGGCTCACGCGCAATTTTTCGCGCTGGACCCACTTGGTGCACCTCGTCAGGGCACATCGCGATCCCGTCCATGTCGTCGGCAAAAGCCGATCGAAATCGTCGCTTTCGTAATGGCAGGCGCTTGGCAACGAACTCCGCCACCGCCACGGGTCTTGCACTTTCCCCTGACCTGCACGGACTTGAGGCAGCTAGGGATGTCACAGGGCTAGGTTCTTCCGTGGGCTGTGCAGTTGCCAGAAAACTGAGCCACTCGGTGGCATTCAGGGGTGTTGCAGTACCGCCGGCCGTCGTGTTGTCAGCGGCGCTGCAGTCGTGGTGGTGGCGCACGCACATCCGTTCGCGCTGGGCCCACTTGGTGCACCCCGTCACGACACATCGCAATCCCCCTCCATGTCCGCGACAGAAGCCGTTCGAAATGGAGCCTTTGGTGCAGTCACGCGCTTGGCATCGAACTCCGCCGCCATGGGTCTTGCACTTTCCCCTGGACTGCATGGACTTGAGGCAGCCAGGGACGTCGCAGGGCTTGATCCCGCCGTGGGTTGTGCATTTACCGGCAAACTGAGCCACTCGGTGGCATTCAGGGGTCTCGCAGTACCGTCGGCCGCCATGCTGTGTACACTTCCCATGACAGCGAGCAAACTTGACGCATCCTTGCTCAGCACACAGTTTGCGAGCGCGCGCTGGACGAGAGCTAGCGAGGAGTACATGTGACAAGTTGAGCAGCGGGATGGGATCTTCACCCAGGAAATCCAAAATCGAGGTGGGAACGTCGAAGCCCACTGGTAAAAGTAGATCGTCAAAGGAGGTCAAGGCATGCCCATGAAAGGGTCCGACATCATCGTCTCCAAGACTGGTGGTGTTCATGAGGAACATGCTGAACGCTTCAGTTTCCATAGCTGAAGTGTCTTGATGGACGTACGTTTGAAAGTGGCTGGGGCGGCGGGTTGCAGAAGTTCGCCATGACGCCGTCGCATGCAGGATTATTTGGTCTATTTTTAGGCGGCCATGTTCTGACAAACGTCCTCTATCGAAATACAAGGTTTACCCTGGCAAAACGAATTGTTCACTACGACGTTGGAAACAGAACGTGACATTTGGAGCGAAAGGAAATGGCACGATTGGATTGGCCAAAATATATAGCTTTCAAGATCTTTGATTGGATAGAATCACTCTTGGGACGAATAATACATTCTGCTTTGCCGCGGATCTGACGACGCCGCCGGCTTCCATGGGAGAGTCCAAAGAAAAGGTCCGTCCGTCATGTAGTAGGGGTTTCATGTGATCATGATGCGATAGGTGACATGCATGCACTGCACGCGCGACACGACGCGGATGATTCGCATTACGTGCGCCGAATGCCCGTCGTCAGGGGCCGATAGAGGCCCTGTCGTGCTTTGCATCGAATGCTTCTCGACGGGGGTGGAAGACGTGCCTGGCGCACCCGGACATCGCAAGAACCATGCGTACATGGTGTCGGACTGCTTGTCGTTTTCAATTCTCGACAGTGAGTGGAGCGCGGACGAGGAACTTTTGCTGTTGGACGGCATCGAGATGTTTGGGATGGGTAACTGGAAAGACATTGCCGAGCACGTCGGCTCCAAGACGGACAAGAAATGCGAGACGCATTACATGGTCAACTACTTGAAACTGCCGGCGATGCCCGAGTCCCCTGAGAAACCCTCGTCCGGTCGCGCCGCCGCGACCCCGGCCGCGACGCCAACCGCGGACGACGACAAGGAAAAGATGGGCAGTGCGTTGGCAGGGTACATGCCGCTGCGTGGGGACTTTGACGTCGAGCACGACAACGACGCCGAGGTGATCCTCGCCGACATGGAGTTTGCCGACGACGACCATCCCACGGAGCGCGAACTCAAGCTCAAGGTCATCGCGATCTACAACGCCAAGCTGGACGAACGCGAGCGCCGCAAGAAGTTTGTGGTCGAGCACCAGCTGCTTGACTACAAGAAGTACCAGCAGAACGAACGCCGCCGCCCCAAAGATGAGCGCGAACTCGTCATGCAGCTACGCCCATTTGCGCGGTTCCATTCCAAAGATGAGCATGACGCGCTCGTGGAAGGTCTGGTAGCCGCCATGCGACTGCGGAAGCAGATCGCGCTGCTGCAGGAGTACCGCCGCCACGGCGTCCGGACGCTGGCCGAGGCCGAGCTATATGAACAGGACAAGAAGAAACGAGAGGTGGAACAGGCTTTGCAAAAGTCCAGGGAAAGGTATGGAAGCTATGTATCGCGTAGATAGGGTGGGGGAAATGTATGGTGATTATGTACTAGCAATATGTGCGAAGTGTATATGGGTACCTCCAAATGTCCAATAGTGTGTATGAGATGGAAATGATATTGTGTTTTTACCCAAAATTTGATTAACTTTTTGTGAGGAATCGCCAAATCCATCGATCGATGCTTTGTACTGAACTTTGTATGTAAAAAGGGGCCCACACTATTTGTAGTCGCACACTAATTCGACGTTGATGATGGTTTCCTGCAATCTGATTGGCTCAATTCTTGTGTTCATTTGGCTGTGTCAATTTATTCTCCATGACGCTCCAGTTTAGAATAAACACGGTACAATATTGATCCGTTGTTTGTTGTGAAAGAAGAATATTCACGTATTTAAAAAGCGTTATATTAAAATTGATTTCCATCGAAATAATAATAATAAATATTATACGACATATTTTGGATTAATACTTTGAGCGTATTCGTCTACCAGTAGGTGTTCCGTGGGTGTGTATTTTTGAAATGAAAAGAAGTGATTGATATTATTAGCCTATGGCAACTATTCATAACAAACAGTACTACGTGTAGTAGTGGAGGGAATATATAAATTATAGTCGATACATATGGGGTGATGTGTATATACTATTTGTATAATTTGATTGTGTCTTATTACAATATATATATATTTGTTTGCGATAAATTCATGTGGGTATTGTATAGTGTGTCGTACTTGTACGAATCCAAGGGGAATAGTGCCAAGCGCCACAGCCGGTGGTTAAGTCGCGGGCAAGACGAGTCGACTTCCAGTACGCATTTGCTGCTCGATATGCAAAGGCCGCACAATGGCTGACACATGTTGGTAGAAACGGATGGGGCGACTCTACAAAGCGATAAAGCGGGGCTCGCGCTGGACGGCGCCCCCGGTGCCCACTTGCTCACCCCGACGGAAAAGGAGTTGTGCTTGAAACTGCAGTTGCTGCCCAAGGTACTACTCATCAACGTTGCAATGTATCAATTATATATCCCCGTTGAGAAAAATATTAATTACATGTTTGGTAGCAATACTTGGTTATCAAGGAAGCGCTTGTGCGCGAAAGCTTCCGATTGGGCCATTTGAACCCTACCGCGGCGCAGAAAATCGTGAAAATTGGTACAAAATTGGACAAATTTATTGTGCTTTCGAGTGAAATTTCGTGTTGTGGCGTGTTTTTTTCTCGTTGGAATTTAAATCGATTTGATTGGCTACCTCAGATGAGGTCAACATTATTAACCAATCAAAACCTTCTCAATGAAATTCAACAACCAATCAGATCGATTGTGGATCGGTTTGGTTGGCGCGATTATTCGATTGTACCCCCTCCCCAAATTTGGACTATCAAATCGACAATATACAAAAAAATTAGTGTCCATTTCAACCATTCCTGTCATGTAAATGATGATGATGCACATTAGACGCGACCAAGACGGGGGTGATCTACGACTTCTTTGTGCATGCTGGCTGGGTCAAGAAGGACGCCGCCGCGACCTTGGCAGCGGTGGGCCCACCCCTGTCGACGGCGGCGGTCGATCCGCCCGTGGCCAAGAAACCCAAAATCACCGAAGTGTAGATGTCGACAGAGATATGCCGACGACAACGAGACTATAATATTTGCGTGCATGATGAAGGAGTTCGGTGTTGGAGATTGATATGGAGACATGCTTCAAGACAGACTTTTGTATGCACGCGTTGGATGTCTACAACAGCCTACGACTCATGACGCTCGTTGGCGCCATCGCCCAGAGGCTTCAAACGAGATCGAACGAGTGTGGCATCCAGCACCCCTGTATCGTACATGCGCTGGAGGGAAGCGTTTGGAAGGGTTTCCAACGTCACTTCGTCGAAACCGTCGGGAAGGGCGATAGACTTGACGTAGTCAGACGAAAGGTGCTTGGCAGCGTACATGTTGCTTCCGGTCCACCAGTCTCCACATGGGGAAATGTGTAGAAACAACTGCGTATGTGTCCACTCGGAGAGCGCCCGTCGACCCGTCCACCGCCGTACTATTAGTGATGCCATCGCAGGTGCCTTTTGAAAACGGGAGTACTACACTTGGATTGGTCAATTAGTCCACTATTTCCCCCCATTTTCAACCAATCATATTCCTTCCCATTTGTCTTACTACTTCGAAGTACGTACTTACTGTTAGTATTAGTATAAATATCCCATTTGTCTTACTACTTCGAAGTACGTACTTAGTACTTCGAAGTTTTTTTTATACTATTTTAATTGTATAAATAATACTTCTAAGTACCTACGTAGTAATACTGTAGTACTAATACGCATTAGTTGGCATGTTGCGAAACAATTACCAACACTCCTAAATAGTGTCAATACATTGTTGTAAGAGAGAATGATGGTCACGAAACAATCGCGAAACATTTTATCCGGAACTATCAGGAGCTAGCTTAGGCCAGGGCCGGGAGCGTAGCGAACCAGGCCCGTTCGCCCGCGCAGCGACTCAGTATAACAGCAATGATCTATCTAATTTCTGGGAGCACCGGAGGCCGGGAGCGAAGCGAACCAGGCCGAGGAGCCCCCCTACTATTTTCCGGTTAATTATCCGGATGTATCGCGATCCACTACTAATACAGTATAGCATACCTACTACTGTAGATCAGATTGATTGGTCCAAAAGTCATATTATAAACCAATCATCTCCATGTATTCATAGCTTAACAACCAAAAACACATGAATCAGTCAGTTATGCCAAACTGATAGCTTTCGAGAGCACGTGCATGTCTGTGGAATTCAGCACCACCGACAGCACCCGCTTCTTCTTCTTCGTTCCGTCGTCGTCGTTGCTTGATGGACCAGGAAAGATGAGGCGGCCCACGGGTTTCTTGGGCGGACAGGTCCTTCCAAGCTCTAGCGGGGCGCAGCTTCGCCCTGTGAACCACACTTCGCCCGCCGCCACCGCCGCTGCCCGGGCGCCGTCCAATGCCTGCGACACTGTAGCCTTGACGACATCGCATTCCTGCAGCAACTGGAACACATGCACATCGTTTTGAACGTGGGTTTTGGTCAGATCAACCAACTCTGGCATGGCGCTACGGGTCAGGATCTTGGACGTCAGCGCGGCCACGTCACGCGAGACACTAGCTAAGCCACTACTACTTGTAGAACGAGGTGGTTTCGGACTTGGAGACAGCGGCAGGCGGGCCAGTGCCAACTCTGTCCGAACCGCGAGCAGTTGCTCTTGCAGTACCAGCAACGCCTTGGCTGCTCCACCGGCACTCATAAACGACTGTTGGCCTCCGTTGCTGGCCCCGTCGGCTGCTTTCACATGCAACTCACTGGCCCGACGCAGGGACTTTCGCAGCGTGCGGTTGGTGGCTTCGAGCGCCGCCCGGTCCTTGTGCTGCTCCGTGAGCAGGGCATCGCATTGCCGCCGTTCCGTCTCAAGCTGCTCCGATAGCTTCCCGACCATGCCCACCTGTGCGACACGGTCCGCCTCTAAACGAGCAATCTCCGTCTCGTGTTTGGCAATCAGCATGCGGGCGTGGCCGTCCGACTTTTCCGCTTCTTTGAGCCGCGCTTGGAGTGTGTGACACAGTTCCGTGGTTTCTTCGACCGCCGTCAGCAACGACGCCGCGTGCGCGAGGTCTGTCCGGATCAGCTCGGCGCGCAGTTCGTGCAGTGGCACCACCACTTGCTTGTCTTCAGCTGATTCTGGAGTCACGGCATCCACGAGGGCTCCCTTGGCCACGAGTTTTGTCCACGCTTTAACCCGTTCAGTGAACGGAGCGATGGACGTCACCGACTTGGAGTACGCCACGAGAACGTTGAGCTGGTCTAGAATCTGTGCGTGGGTACCAGCAGCGGGTACGTCGTCGTTGCTGTCTGTCGTTGATTCGTCGTCGACCAACTCGGCCGCGACGCGAGCATACAATTGCCACGTGGCCAACGCCAATTCGGCATCCCCTAGTGACTTGCTCTGCAATGCGAGCTGAAACGCCTGTGATAGCACGACCAACTTGACACTGCCGATTGTCGGGGTAGGTAATGGCTCGAGTTTCGGACCAATCAGACGCAACCAATCCTTCACAGCATGGACTAGCCGCGCGCCGACGCCTGGCTGCAAGTCGGTGCCCGCGCCGCCGCCGGCACTCCATTCGTCCAGAGCCGCATCCAGCAACGAGTCTACTTGTGTCCATGAGTTGTCGAGCAACGCAAGCAACTCTTGCCACTTGGTGTCCACGGTTGTGCCATGCAGCTGAGTCATGACGTGGCATACGCCTTGGCGGAACTGCCAAAGAGCCAGCGCCACCGCCGCTTGATGATGGAGGTCGTCCACTGGCGTTGATGTCGAACTTGGTTCGTTGTCGTCGTCGGTTATACTGGTGGTAGGCGAGAATGACGATGTCGGTCTTGTTGGGGGCTCTAGAACGGCCGGGACCAACACTTGGAGCAACCAGCGACTCTTGGCGGTGACGCGCAACGCCATCTTGCGCACGAGTAACTGACGGTGGTCCGACTCTTGCAGCACGGCCGTAGCTGGTACGATGGACTGCCACCACTTGTACTCGACGGCCATTTCCGTCGTCGACAGTTTCTGGCGCCGCGCGGCCAAGTTACTCGCTTGTGCCGCCAGCAACGCCTGGCGCAACTGCAGCGACTGACACATGACACTCTGCGTCGTGTCCTTCATGCTTTCGAGTTCGCCTGCTTCGACGCGAAGTTTCTCACGAAGTGCCGCCACTTCGTCGCGATGGCGGCCGACCACGTCGCGGAACCTAGAGATCGTCCGATCCTTGTCTTGGATGGCGGTGGCGGCGGCAGCCGCCGCCGCCATGAGCTCGGCTATCTTTTGGTTGGCGGCGCCGAGCTCGTCTTGCAGCGCCTTGGCGTACATGTCATGCTGATGCTCCATCTCGTCGCTCATGTCCTTGAGAGACTCGAGGGATGCCACCGACATGGTCAGATCCGCCACTTTGTCCCCCAGCATCAAGTTGGTCTCCGTGAGGGTTTCCACCATCGACTCGTACGCGCCGGCGGCGTCCAGCATCTCCTTGAGCTCTTCCATGGCGGCATTAGATTGGTTTAGTTTGGCGGTGACGCGCTCGATTTCATCGCGGTGTTGCTCAAGTTCGAGCGCAACTTTCGCAGCTTCTTTGACTTGTTTGGTCAGAGTTGCTGTTTCCAGCGCGTGGCGTTCGTGCATCCCGAGCAACGCTTGGCGCAACTTGGCGTTTTCATCGTGGATGGCCGTCGCGGCAGAGCTACTACTGTTGTCGGTTGACGGATGGTATAATGCACTCGAGCCTTGGTGGACCATCAGCGCGGCCGTTGCTATCTGCGCCTCGAGTTCGTCGATGCGTTCGTCCGCAATTTCCTTGTCCATGGCCAGCGTTTCCTTGTCCAACGTGAGCAACTCGACCATGTCCTGCAGATCCGCGATCGTCGCTGCCTGGGTTTCCACCTTGCGACGGGCACTCCCGAGCTTCTTTGTCCACTGGACCACGTCGTCTGCCCGAGCAAGTTCTGCAGCAACGAGCGCGGCGTTTCTTGTGCGAAGACCCAGCACTTCCGTGTCGAGCGCCGCCAACCGCGCCTCGGCGGATTCCACGGCAGCAACGTAATGCGCTTCCTTGTCTTCCCACTCTTTTTCCATCTTGGTCATCGAAATGTCCATGTCTCGTCGCATCTTGGCGGCCAACGCAATGCCTTCGTCCCGCAGAGAACGGAGCTTTTCCTCGTAGTTGATCCGTGGGGATGATGGGAGGTCGGCTTCATGGACGGGCACGGATGGAGGAACGGTAGAGTTGTCGTCGTTGATCGATGGTGGCGCCGGACTCGGCGCGGCGGCGGCGAGTGCAGACGTGACGTCCGTGACTTTGGCTTCCAACTCGGTGATGCGAATGTTCTTGGCCACGAGTTCAGCTTGCAACGCTTCGAGTTTGGCAGTCGCGTCTTGCAGTTCCATCGAGATCGCGTCCATTTCATTGGTACCCGTGGCGACGGCGGGGGAAGTCGATGCCGAAGATGGTTTTGGTGATGACACCGAAGTTGATCGAGAGGCCGCCGCCTTGTGTGGCGTCGAAGTTGAGACAAGTTTGGGACTTAAGGCGACTTTTGGAATGGTTTTCTTACCCCCCACGGGAACTGCGGAGGACGGAGGGAGCAAGTTGGACGTGGACGATGTGCGTTTTTCGCGCATCTGCTGCAACCGACTCGTCGACGACGAGGGGGCGGCCACGGGGTTCGCAGCTCCATACCCTAGACTCACCCGGGCTAAACGAACTTGCGATTTCTTGGCAAACAACCCGTACAGCGGCTCGCACGTAAAGTACCGCACGCCGTTGATCTCGCCGTCGTTCTTCCCCTCAGGGACATCCAGCTCCACGCCGACCCATTCTCCTTGCGCAAAGTCTGTTGTTCCCAGGAAACGGACCGTCCCATTCTTTCCGCCAACGACAAGCACGCGGCTCCCTACTTCCATCTTCACAAGTCGATGTGATGTATCTTGTGCTGAGCAATGAGGGAGGAAGGGATGTACGGATAAAGGATATCCGGTACGTATACTAGTACTATTTAAAGTTGGACAAGGAAATAGTGTGACCAAATATTTTGATTTCTTCGTGTATATCCGGACTTGGATGTGTATATCCGGATTTGCTATCCTGCCCTCAGGCAAATCCAACTCGAATTGAAATTGTGGGGTGGAAACAATGAGCTCTTCGGCCCCGGCACCCGAGAATGCAGAACGCGCGGCCGTGCTCCAAGCCTACCGCAGCAAAGTGCTGGAGCACCGCGAAGTGGAGGGCCGTGTGAAGAGCATGCGCGAAAACGTCAAGACGTTGGTGAAGGAGTACCACAAAACAGAGGACGACCTGAAGGCGTTGCAGAGCGTGGGGATGATCATCGGCGAAGTATTGCGGCAGCTGGACGAAGATCGCTTCATTGTCAAAGCAAGCAGCGGTCCTCGTTACGTGGTGGGTTGCCGAACCAAGGTGGAGAAAGACAAGTTGAAGAGCGGGACGCGCGTCGCATTGGATATGACGACATTGACAATCATGCGATATCTTCCCCGCGAAGTCGACCCCACCGTGTACCACATGCTCAATGAAGATGCAGGCAACGTGTCCTTCTCGAGCATTGGGGGATTGAACGAACAAATCCGCGAATTGCGCGAAGTCATCGAACTGCCTTTGACGAACCCCGAGCTGTTCCTCCGCGTCGGCATCAAGCCGCCCAAGGGTGTTTTGTTATATGGCCCCCCTGGGACCGGGAAGACGTTGCTGGCCCGTGCATTGGCGTGCAATATCAACGCTACGTTCCTCAAGGTCGTCGCCAGTGCCATCGTCGACAAGTACATTGGCGAGAGTGCTCGTGTGATCCGTGAAATGTTTGGCTACGCGCGTGATCATCAACCTTGCGTCATCTTCATGGATGAAATCGATGCGATCGGTGGGAGTCGCTTCTCGGAAGGGACGTCCGCGGATCGTGAAATCCAGCGCACGCTCATGGAGGTACGCAATTCTCACCCCGAGCAAACGATTCATCGTTTCTTATGCACAGTTGCTCAACCAACTCGATGGGTTCGACTCGTTGGGCCAAGTAAAGATGGTCATGGCTACGAACCGGCCGGATATTCTCGACCCTGCGCTCCTGCGTCCGGTACGTCATCAGCGGACCCATGCCTTATCGGAGAATGAATGCGAAATTAACCTTGGTGATGCAGGGTCGATTGGATCGCAAAATTGAAATCCCGTTGCCCAACGAAGCGTCCCGTATGGATATTTTGAAGATCCACTCTGGACCCATCACGAAGAAAGGCGATATTGGTACCATGATTGTCCTTCCTATCCATTTCTCTCACTTGTGTGTTCCTGGCGTAGATTACGAGTCGATTGTCAAGTTGACGGACGGCTTTAACGGCGCCGATATCCGAAACGTGTGCACGGAAGCGGGTGTGTTTGCAATCCGTGCCGACCGCGACTTTGTGTTTGAGGAAGACTTTATGAAGGCCGCGCGCAAGTTGGCCGAGACCAAGAAGCTCGAGAGCAAGATGGATTACAGCAAGGTCTAGAGATATAGCGTTCATACCCAAATATCGTATGTCTTCATGCCGATATTGCCGCCTTCATTGCTGCTGCGGTGTGCATCCTCCCTCGCATGATACACAGCAAACGCCAAGGTGACGAAGTGAGCATCACCCTGCAAATTCGAAAGTGCACGGGATTGTGATAGTTGGCGCGCTTTCTTCAGAATATAATCCGCCCACTATTAAAACAACAGGACGTTTGTATGCAACAAATAAAAAGAGTGACGAAAATTTATATTCTGAATTGCAACTTTTGTACTTGAGCTTTGTATTGTGCGCCATATTATTTCCAGTGCCACCCACCTCAACATCAAAAGTATGCGGTATTTATTCTATGACTTGAATTATGTATGTATTTTTAAACTGTGACGTAGTTCGACCCACCTGAGTACACATGCATTTTCCTCATTTGGTGAATCTTCATGCAAATAAAACGCCACGACGACGACAATTCCGAAGAAGTGGTAGCAGTACCTTGCGTCAAGCGGAAGTGCGATCAACAACAGCAGCCCGCTCGACGAAGCAAGGTCCGGAGGAAGGTACTGCCATTTACGTCGCCACGGACGAAGCTTGCGTGCCCACGCTCGATGGTGGGGGTGCGCCGAAGTGATGGCGTGGTAAACAACGTTGCACCAACTCACAGCGTGATGAAGGACGACACGAAAAAGGTCATTTTGATCTGGGACCTCGATGAGACGTTGCTGCTGTTCAGCTCGCTGTGTACGGGCCAGTTTGCCCATCTAACAGGCAAAAGTTCCGCCGCCAGTGTCGCTCTGGGCGAGAGCATGATGTGTTTTGTGTTCACAATTCTGGAAAAGTATTTATTCTTCGATGACGTGGAAAAGGTACAATCCATTTCCATATTCGTACTCGACACATGCCTAATGAGGGATGCAGGACACAGTTGGTCACGTGAGTCACATGGCCCATTACGACGATGGTCGGTCGTTGCAACAGTACGACTTTGCGGGCGATGCCATCGCCCACGAACCTGACGGCAGTCTTTCCAAACTGCGCAAACAAGCGTATCGGTATCGCCGTATCCGACAGATCTACGAGCGGACGGAACAAGTGCCGTTTCTCACGGACGGCACAACGGAGGCATCGTTCTGCGTCGAACTACGCGACTCGATCGATGCGTTCGGAGACGGTTGGGGACATGCCGCCCAACGCGCATTGCAGGCGGCGACCACTGCCGGCTGCATCAACATCCTCGTGACCAACTCCCAACTCGTGCCTGCGTTGTGCAAGTGCCTCATTTACGACCTCGACCCGTGGTTCTCGCCCGATGCGATCTACTCTTCGTCCCACATTCGAAAAAAGCAATGCTTTGACACGATTCGCAATACCTACGGCCACAACCATACGTACATTGGCCTTGGCGACGGACCTGAAGAACAGCGCGCGAGCGTCGACTGTGGCATGTCGTTTGTCCAGGTAAGATCTCGTTGACCAATGTGTACTCCAATGCGACGCGTTGTATTGAACGGTGACTGCCAATGTCGACCCTTTTCTCTTCGTTTTTGTCCTGTGTTGAATGTGCACATCATCTTTGGTCTGTCTTGGCCATTGTAGATATTATACAGTTAGTTTGAAGACCATGTGATTGAATTTTGGATGGAACATGTAGATCAAGCGGCGGGACGACCTCGTCCGAGTAGCCGAGCGACTTGAGCAAGCGACGGCGACGGGTTTGTCCCTCCATACTTTAGTGCTGTAGCGCTGGAGTCTACAGCTGCACGTCAGCGCCAGACATTCAAAGTCGGGAGGTTTCCGATGGCGTCGATCGTCTTTATGCCGCTCACCACCCGTCCAAACGTCACTACCATCCACACATACGCACACATGATATATATAATAAAATATAGTCCAAGTATGGATATATATCTATCTATATATATATTATTCATACTACGGTAGTTCTTACTTGGACTTTTGGGACTTGTCAAGTATGCAATGTTCATATATATTCCCAACGTATTAGTATCGAATTTGCTATACCGGTATATGTATTTGAGTCGGGGACCAAAATAGTGTTTTTTACTGTGGCCCTGAATAGTATGGTGATGTTGTATCCTACACCAATTCCTACCATCCGTATAATTCAGCAGTTATTCGTATCCCCCGAAATACCGTACTTCGTGAAAATAATCGGTAACGTTTTTGGGGCACAGGATCCTATTGGCCCAACGAAGTCAATTTACTTCGCCGGGTGTACGTACAGTAGTTTTACATTAACCAGAAAAAACAAGGTGAAATAGGCAATTTTGTATGCTGCGCAAGGTGAACCACCTTGCGAATTCCATAAATATTTCTGAAATTGTACAGATTCAATTAAATATATCTTCAAGTTTGTATTGATGATTTTTATTTTTCGTGTGTCTGTCTCTTTTTGGAATTCGCAAGGCAGGCCACCTTGCGAATTCAAAATTGTCCAATTTGTCCAATCAGATGCCGTGAAATCACGAAAATCGCTGGTAGATTCATCACGCCCTGTTGCGATACATTCTACTCCTGTGATGGCGGTTGATGCAAGGAGCATTAGATAAATATGTAGGCTGTGTATGAGAGCAAGATCATGCGATGTGGTATCCCGGACTCGGTCAATTCGAACAGGTCTAAACTTCAGTAACATCACCACTTGCCTGTTAAACCAATGAATGTGGTCATCCCTCATTCCACCATCAGTCCGTGTCGGTGCCGTACACCTCCCTACTGGAGTAGTCACGTGGTTGCGCGGGCGGGTGGCGCAAGACGTCTTGGTGGCACCCATCGCAAGTGCTGAAGCCGCCACTTCAGCACTTTCGATGGGTTTCTACTGTACCAAGACGTTTTGCGCCACCGCATTGGCCCACCAGAGCCGTCACGGCATTGCGACCCAACCGAGGCCACAACATAATGTTAGCTGTAAGGGAAGAACCACATTGGTTATAGTCGGAGTGAACTCATCAGTGCACAATTCTCTCAAACAGCATCACACAAAGCTCTACAAAATTCAAGCAGTTCAAAATTGTAACGTCTTCTGCCAGTGTTATAGCCAATCGTGTGTAAGAAGCAAGGTGTGATGGATTCTGATTGGATATTAAAATGGAGCAAGGTGGCTCACCTTGCGAATTCCATTAACCGGGACGTGTGGACCGGCCTGCGATTCGCAGGTTGGTGGCTAAGCCAATGAAACACACGAATAGTACGATAAAGCCAGTATATTTTGGCCAATGAAACTTGAACATCAAGCTGTAATTTTAAAAAGATATCACCCATTGTCGTGCGATTCGCAGTGTAGTAACAATAAATTCCAGCCAATAGTTATTAGGCTCATCGCAAAGTATAGTACTCACTTCAACTTTTGCGTGAGAATTGCCTTGGGAAAAGACAACACATCACGAGGTAATCTTATGTCATGCATGAATACGTGAACTTATCATACTCATGATCTAGATTCCTCCTTCGAGCAGCGCAACGACAAGATCGTCGTCGCCAGCAGCGAGAATGTCAACTTGGAGTGGCGGCGCAACAACTTGCGCGACTTCCTCCGGCGCAGGGACGGCATCCACTTCGGCTGTTTGCGACGGCGCGGGCGCGGCAACGGCTTCGAGCGACGACGCAGGTGTCGCTGGCACGGCATCGACGGCG